GGTGATTAAAAAATGGGGGGGGGGGGGGGGGGGTGTATTGTCAAATGAAAGAGCATGATTGCTACAAGATCGTAATGACAAACTGGACTAAAGATCAATCTGCGCTTTCACCGCACTGGTCATCTACCATAAAAAAATAAAAAATCCTGCATGTCCAATGCTATATGAACTTCTGGGGCTTTACAAAACCATTCAACAATAACTTTTTAAATTACAGTTTGCTAAATATGCTTCTTAAAACAGCTTCAGTTAGGCTCCTCACCTGGGTTTCTGCACTGCTCAGGGAATGGAGATCCAAAGATGGATCAGTTCTAAGTTCTGGTTCTGGAGCTGCAATAGGGGCCTTCAGAAAAACTTCATCTTCCAGCTGCTCCCCTAATCCTTCATCCACTTCCTTACGGTCTCCGTCGTCCTTCTCCCCTGGCTGTTGACTTTCTTTCACTTCTTCAGTCACCTGAGATTTTGGTCTCTTCAGAAAAGATGAGAAGAGGCGTGATAAACCCTTTCCTTCAGAATTTCTCTCCTTGCTTTTGCGGGTGCTGGGAGATGCAGTAGAAGGGGAACCCAGTGTTTGCTCAGTGTCCTGTTTCTCTTCTGTGTTTGGTTCCTCCAAATTTGTTTTGCCAGCCCCAGCCTCCTCCTGTCCCTTTCCTTCTCGTTTTTGGTCCTTAGGAGGGTTTTCTGCCTCAGCCACTAAACTCTTCTCTGTTGTCATGATGCCACTGTAAAACATTGAAGGCAACTTTATTAGCATTACATACATATACATACTTTTATACATAACCAGCACACGACTCAAACTGCATTAGAACTGAAAGCAATAGAATGAAAAAAAAAACTTAAAAATTCCAACTATTGTTTAATACAGAGGGTCTGATTTATGAACACTGAGGCAACAGGTGAGATGCCTGTATCCCAGTAAACAATTAGGTTTAATTTTTCCAATGAAGCTTAAAAACTTGGGTTGTTTTGGGTAACAGCTCCCCTTTTAATAAAGCAGCCATCCGTCTGAGTACAAGCTTCCTTGGAATGTTTGTCGGGCATAGGAGGAAGCCTGTTGAAATATGGGGCTACCCGACCTTAATGTGAGGCAAACGATGCCAAAAAGCGCCATATGTGTGGTTAGTGTGAGTTGGAGCTAAAAAGGCACTCAACAATGACACCGACTGCAATACAATCCTGTTTACCTGTTTGTATGCATGGAATATGGAAAAAGACTAAAAGACTGTTTTACAAACCCCAAAATGTGAACTTCCAGAGTCTCAGAGAACAGCTGCTACAGGCCTTGTTGCAGTGAAGTCCATAAGGTCCTGAGTAAACTGTTATAAGATGTAAATTGCAATATTGGATATAACAAACAAAGGCTCCATATTTCTAGTGTCTATATGCACAGTATGGGCCTTTACATGTGAACTTTTCATATGCACCTAAGTACTTTGTCCTGTGATGACATACACAGCATTTTAGGAGTGTCACGCTTGTTCCATGTGCACTTTGTATGCAACACTTACAGTTGTGCTATAATGTGGGCAGCTGCACTTCTCTACTGTGTGGAAATAATTTTTTGCTGTTCATCAATAAAGAATTTGGAAAAAAAAAATACACCAGCAGCAGGATATGTATCCACAGTTACCCCTCAGCGTAACACAGTTCCTATACACACTTTGTACTTTGTTTTTATTTATTTAGTGCCCATCAAACATTATTCTATCTTCTTCTTTTTTCATCTGTCAATGTAACCACGTGTGAGGGATGCACACTTTCCATACAGGTCAATACCACCCTGCTATATAGTATATAAAGGTAGGTTTCTGGTATAAAAAGATACAACCTCAGTGATAATTGCAGTGATTGCAATTAAAGGAGAACTATGAGGTGAGTGCTTTTCACTCACCTCATAGTTCTAGCTGACCAGTGACAATGAAACGGTCACAGGCCGGCTCAGTAGATCGGGAAGTGAGCGAACACATACCGGCGTTCGCTCACCTCTCGATCCTGTCACGGCTCTCTGCCATGACAGGGGAGGTGCTGGATTCCCCCCTCCGCCAGCGCTGACTGGCGAAACAGAGGGGGGAGGGGGCGGGTACAGCTGGCTCTGCCTCTAGATAGGCAGAGCCAGCTGTCAGTCACGCAGCTGGGCAGATCCAGACATAATTGTCAGGATCGTCTTCAGCTGCGGTGTCGTGGTACTGCGGCGTCTCATAATAGCAAAGGCACACTGACAGGTCCTCTTTATGGAGACATAAGGGGTCTCTAGGACCCCTAATGACACCTGTGGACCCCAAAAGAAGCTGATGAAGCACAGATCTGCTTTATCAGCTTCTTCTCTCCGGCTATAGCAGCCAGATGACTGACAGGTGAATGCGGAAGTGATGTAATACACATCACTTCTGCATTCACAGCCCGGAATCAGCAACGGGCGGACGCGAACGAGCACATATAGGCGATCGGCGGGCTATGGACCCGCTGATCGCCTATACAGGTATTCCTCACTTAACGACCGAGTTCCGTTCCTACGACCAGGTCGTTAAACGGATTGGTCGTTAAGTGAGGAACTCTATACAGTACTATACTGCATTAGTACAGTACTGTATAGCGTTGCCGATGTACAGTACCGAACAGTGTACTGTACATCCGGCAATGGAAATACTTACCGAGACCTGCAGTGAAGATCGGGGGATGTCACTTCCGCCGGCGACCCGTCGCACTGACGCTGACGGTGAAGGTCGGAGGTCGATCGGCGGTCCGTCGTAAGTGCGAGTGGTCGCAAAACAGGTAAGTCGGTAAGTGAGGAACATCTGTATGTGAAACACCCGGTAACGGGTGTGTGCAATGGTCGGGTCTTTTCTGCCCGTGCGTGCCCGCTAGGGGGCGCGCGCGAGCAGAAAAAAATTGCCGTCTGGAGACGGCAACCCGCCAATGCAGCAGTGCCGTCTGTCCGTTTTTTTACTACGGGCGGACGGCAAGAGGTTAATATGGCCTAGGTTGTAAAGTGGCTTGAGAAATGGAAGTTAACAGAGAGTGTTATGTACTAGAGTGTCATGAATTGTTTTTGCACTAATAATTGTTGCACTTTTTTTTAAGATGTAGGTCTCTAGACTGACGAGAGGATAATAAAATTGAGTATGCAAAAAAAAACACGCAAGAAGGCTGATAATATTTGTTTTGCTATGCAGTCAAGCCTTGATTCTGTTGGTGCCCCCCCAGGATGTGCAGTTGCTTCATCCCCTAAAGATTTTTTCCTTAATCTGCAGTGTAAAAACATCTATGGTTCTCTAAGGAACGCTGTACCATCTTTAATATTTACACTTTCATTCATTCCAAGAAGTATAGCTCTCACTATACTTCCGGCTTCCTGAGGCTCTCATACACTGAACCCACACGGCCATTTCTCCTCCCCTCTTCTCCCCTTGTCCATTCACAGAACACTTAGTATTCAATTAGAATACAAAGGGAAGAATGTATCATAACTGTGGCAAACAGAATCTGGAGCAGTTACCCAGGAAAACCAATCACCATCACTCTTCAGATTGCTCAGGTAAGATTTGAAAATGAGAGAAACTGATTGGTTGCAGTGCAAATCTGCTCCAGATTTTGTCTGCTCCAGTTTTCATAAATTCCCCCCCAAAGCATTCTGTGAACAGGCAAGTGGAGAAAGGAGCAGCTTCCGTTTGTAAGAGCCACAGCAGGAAGTATAGCGAGAGCTATACTTTATTACATGACTGAAAATGTAAATAATAAACATGGTACAGCGTTCTTTAAAAAGCCATACAACATCAGACTTAACATCGTTTTACAGAGCAGATTAAAAAAAAATAACCCTGGAGTTGTGCTTTAAATAGACAAGAACCTTTTAGCAGCACTGCATTTGAAATACCCTTTGTCTTGGTAACAGGAAAAAAAAACTCAGTTGTGTATTCCTGCACACCAGCGGATTACAATATGCGATAAGAGGCAATTTCCTCTGTAGAGGGACCACACTAACAGATACATGTTTATGTCCCCACCCTAATGATGCAAGTAATCCTGTGTATTTGGTTTCTTTTTATACCTTATTTATTAAACATTCTCCTTCTCATTACATAAAGCAAGCTTATTTCCTGTAGGAGTAACCAGGCTGGTTTAAAAAATATAGTAACATAGTATGTGAGGTTGAATAAAGACAAGGGTCCATCTAGTTCAACCTATGTGTGCATGTGTGAGTCTGTATATTTATATGGCTCCAACTCTCCCCATATCCTTCTACATTTAGTGAATGATGAAACTCATCTAGAAGATTCTTGAATTTATCACTGCTATCAGCGGCTACTACTGACTGTCGAAGGGAATTACACATTTTTACTACGCGCACAGTAAAAAAAACCTTTGCACAGTTTAAGATTGAAGCCCTCTCCCTTCTAACCTCCTGTTGTGTCCTTAACCCCTTCACGACCCATGACGGGATAATCCCGTCATGAATCCTCAAGGGGTTAAAGAGAAAGCCACTGGGACTCTGTTCATACTTGTAGAGCCGGCGGCCGCCTTGTCAGTAAAAGCGATTCTGGCGACTCAGCTATTGCCAGATTGCTTCTATGATCCGGTAAAGTGGTGGTGGGAGTTAATAGTAACTCTCAAGCAACCATCCCCGAGGTTGTCCGCTTCCCAAATTCGCCTGCCGGCTGCAAATGTAAACAGGCGGGAGCAATAGCCAGACTGCTATTGAGGAGGATTGCAATAGCAGGCTAACTGTTGAAACCCCACCCACCAAGAGGAGGAGGTCCACTCCTCCTCTTGGTGGGTGGGGTTTCAACAGTTAGCCTGCTATTGCAATTTGAAATAACCAATAGCAGTCTGGCTATTGCTCCCCATTGTGTACTGTCTGCTGCCGACCGCGGCAGTACAGTACACTCCTCGGTTTACAATATGATCGTGTTACGATGGGTTTATCAGAACGTAACCCCATCGTAAACCAAGGCGTGTCTCTATTACTTTATCCCTAACTGAAATCCCTCTTTTAATGCAAGACAGTATCCTGTTTGCTTTGCTGGCCGCTGCTTGGCATACTATTGCCAAATCCCTGATCTATGAGCACCCCCAGGTCTTTCTCCATGTCCAACTTCCCTAATGTAGCATCCCCAAGTTGTAATTTGCACACTCTTTGCTCCCATGTGTATAAGCTTGCATTTTTCAACATTAAATCACATTTGCCATCTTGTAGCCCATGCTTCAATATAGCAGAGAGATGAGCAAAAGGAATAACATTAGCCTACTAATAATGAAAAAGAAGTTACTTTTACTCTAACAAGCTAAAACATGGTTGCTATGAGCAATAACTTGAATTCTGATATTCCATTTCTAATAAATACAATCCGTTTGCTTGACTGATTAAAGCACATCTGGCATCATGTCTCTCAGTTTACAGTTTTCTTTAAGCAGTTAAGTTTGTAAATCCACTACAAGGTTTCTTATCTGCAGATCCTGCCAGTAACAACACTTCCTGTTGCAGGATGACAATGTTAAATCACTGTCTCACAATTAACATCACTGTTGTCTATTGGACCCCTAAAGGCACCTTTGCCGTCCTTTGGATATGATCAAGCACAGGTCATGCTTGATTAGCATCTTCCCTGGCCCAGAATGATAGCTCAGAAACCGGAAGTGACAAAATCATCATCACTTCCTGGTTCATTCAGCGGGAAGGAGATCAGCAAAAAGATGTGCACTGGCCTCTCTCTGCTGACAC